AGAGAGAGAGAGAGAGAGAGAGAGAGAGAGAGAGAGAGAGAGAGAGAGAGAGAGAGAGAGAGAGAGAGAGAGAGAGAGAGAGAGACATCACTGTTTTCGGCTGTGGGATCATCGTCAGTCGCACCGTCATGATGTACGAGCTCCGGCACCTACGAAATGCATATCATGTGCGGAGCTTCAATTCGACTTCACATTGGACATCGACAACCATGTCGTTCACTTCTACGACGTGGACGTTGACGGATTCCTGGCACTATGGCTAGACCTCGAGCTGGGGTACAATGGAGATCTCCTCGGCCACGTCATTTTGTATGCAAAGAAGGTCGGGGATGTCATCCTTGACCAATGGGGTGGTGAGCCGATCGATTAGGTGGGAGAGGTGATACTACTCTTCATGGAGACGTTCGCACACGAGTACGAGACGAGGTTGGACCAAGCGCCATGGTGGAGATGCATTCTCGATTCGCCATTAGTGGGGAGGCCATACTTGCACGGGGAGATAAGTGTTTGAGGCAATGATGCTTGCCTTTGCATCACCATCTATTGTGTAGTCGGCATGCGGTGCAGCGCACGAGATGTTTTGTTTAGAATGCCGTCTTCATTCGTCTTTCGAAGTGCAGGTTGCGGATGTTCTACTGCAAGTCCATCAAGCCACTGGTACCTCTTCGGGTATCGCCAATTGGGCCTGCGGGCCTAACCGGCTGCAAAAGTAAGTACCTTGGCCTTTCGAACCATGCGACGGTCGTCCCCCTTGGATTGTTTGTAGCATGCATGGCCGCCAAACCTCCGTGTGCGAGGCCTCGATATCATTCTTCAACCACGGTCACGCCGGCCATCACGCCAAAAGAGTACGCCACTGCCGGCCATTCACGCCGTGCACACCTGGGCCCCGGAGGGCCACACTTCGCCGTCGACATGCCGCGCACTGCTCATTCGGGCGAGAGCTCAATTTTTCCATGCGCCCACGCCGTGCGCTATGGACGAGGCCGCATTGAGCGTGATTTTCATAAAGCACGCCAAACACCCTTGTAAGGGTATTTGGTACGATAACGCATACTCCTCTTAGACTCCTAAGCAATGCACCACTAGGGTAATCCACCAACCACAGAATTAAACAGTCGAAGGTAAGTACGACAAGAGGCGTACATATTCGCAATTGAACTTGGGGGAGAATTGCGAAGCAGACACTCATAAAGAGACATCACACTGACTCGTAAAGAAAAAGGAAATGGTTCGATTCCCCTCAAAGATGCCGTATTTTGTTCAGTGCCCCTCAAAGATTTGGCATTTGGTGAATGGCCTTCTGACTTGTGATCTTTGCAGCAGGCACCTACCAGGGAGCTGCACAACTTTGCACAATGAGCCTGGCCACCCAACAGTTGGGTCAGTTAACTCATTCATGGTGTGCCCCAATACCAGGCAGGGATCTTCCCTGCCTGCCTGCAGCCATTGTCTGAGCTCCATGTTCCACTTCCTTCTCCTTTTTCCCCGACCACACACTCTCCTCCTCCTCCTCCTCCTCCTCTTCTTCTTCTTCTTTTGTGTGTGTGGGCATGAGCACGTGAGGACATTCTCTCCCCTTCTCCTCCACCTCCTCCCCTTTGTCTCCTGCTCCTCCTCTTCCCCTTCATCTTCTCCTCCCCCTCCTCTCCCCTTCATCTTGTCCTCCCCCTCCTCCTCCCCTTCATCTTCTCCTCCCCTTCCTCCTCCCCTTCGTTTTCTCCTGCCTCTCCTCTTCCTCCTCCTCTTCTTCTTCCTCCATGTGTGTGTCTGTGTAGGAACATGCGTCATGGGGTTGTGTTCACACACACACAAGAAGAAGAAGAAGAAGAAGAAGAAGAAGAAGAAGAAGACTTCTTCTTCTTCTTCTTTTTTTTTTTCTTCTTTTTTTTTTCCGCAAGGCATGCCATTTCTGGCACATGGAACATCATATCTTTTCCAATGTCTGCAATTTGTACGATTGATGATCCGTGGGATTTGTCTACAGTGTGCACTTGAGACTTCTTTTGCATGACATTGTCCACTTGTCTCCAACTGTGATGCAGTACTACCGTCTTCACCCGAATAGAACACCCAGTAATTATTCCCGTATCTGGACTGACAGTTGCACCAAATACATCCATAATGACCGGGCGTTCTATTCTGGTGAAGACGGTAGTTACTGCCCAGCCTTCCCAACTGCGCACCATTCACCATTCAGCAGCTCCATACATTGTCAAACAAAGGGCTGATATACTAATCATCATCAGCAGTAATTCTATCAGCATTTACTATCATCATAATCATAAGTTTCAGAGGTGGGACGCTGAGCCCGGTTCTCAGCAAGCTGGGTTCGGTTACTCCGGGTAGACTGTGAGGACCCCAGCCTCAATTATCTTATTGATAATATCAGCCTTGGGCACTGGGCCCGTTTAAAAAAAAAAAAAAAAAACTTTGGGACATCCGTTAAAATTGGAACGATACAGAGAAGATTAGCATGGCCCCTGCGCAAGGATGACACGCATAAAATTAAAAAAAAAAAAAAAAAAGTAGGTTAATTAACTTATTAAGTTATTACTAGTTATTAGGAAAAACAAGGGGGTTAAGAACTTAAGAACTTGAGAAATAATATCAATAAAAGTTGGAAATCCTGCCATCCTGGCAGATACAAATACTGTGAAGTCCTTGGTGGTTATCCTTCCTCACTAGCTAGTATCTTTAATACAGCACAAGTCAGGAGTTCGAATCGCAACAAAATACCAGTATGTAAAGCAGTTTGACACTCTGCACAGAGTTTTTCTAAGGGGTGAGCAAGCAACGAAAGCTGATGCCGGAAGAAAACAAAAAAAAGAAAGATGACGCGGAAAGTAATTGAGCAAAAAGTTGAAGAAAGTTAAAGAGAAAACTCTCTAGAATTTACAAAGTTACACATATCAAGAAGGTAAATACTAGATATCAAGTTCCTTTAACAAGCCATAATAAATACAGTTACGTCATCCCGGCCGTTCTTCTTCGGGAAGAGGCGTGAATCGTCGAAACCTACTCCGCTCGTTGCCTTCGCTGTTTCCACATTCTCATCCACATCCCACTGCGAATCACCCCTGTGAGGGTGGTCGCATCGTCGTCCATGGTTCCCACCATGGTCCCACCATGGTCCCCACCATGGTCCCACCATGGTCCCACCATGATCCCACCATGGTCATCATCATGCATGGTCAACCACGAATGTGCAGAGCTGTCGTTGTTGTTTCCACTACGTTAGGCACACCATCATCCATCATTATTGCCAGGGTGGCTGTATCATCATCAAATGTGACTGACGACACCGACTTTTCCACGCTGAGGGACTGAGGGGCTCGGCTGTCCGCTTAAACTTGTTAGAGAGGACTGAAGGTCTAACACCACATTTCGATTTAAAACTCGTCACAAAAACAAAAAACAAAAAAAAAAACCTCTCGTCTGAACCTCAGATGGATGGTCTTCCATGTCATTAAATTGTTGAGATGGCCTTCATCCCATGCACTAGGGTATGGACTGCAGTTTTTTTCCCTTTTTCATTTTTTTGGTTTAAACTTTAAATGCTAGGCTACCAGCCGGGCTGCCTGGGTCACCCTTTTTTCCCAGGCGGCCCGGCCGTGCAAGGACCAGGTAAGGTCCCAGCAAAAAAACAAAAGAAGAAAAAAAAAAAAAAATCTGAAAAAATAAACTATGGTATGCAGAAAAATAAACTGAACAACGTTTGCCTCAGGGTCACATCGAAATTCGTTGCCATATTTAAAATAAAAAATAAAACTAAAAAAGTTAAAAACAACATTTTTTTTTTTTTTTTGACCCTGTCGGGCAAGTGGTCCCGGGCCACTCTGGTAGCCTAGTTTAAAATTTCGATGTAAANGGCATTGAAGTTGCCAGCAATAGTGCAGGTGGACTCTGATGAAGTTGGCTGATTACAGAATTTCTACTTCGTAGCGAATAGCGAATCTCTAGTCCAGAGCAGCTGAATGCAAAAAGAGTCAACAGAAGACACGTCTCTGCTGTTATATTGAGATGGATTTCTAATGTAGTACTTAGCACTTAGCACTTACTCATGAAAAAAAAACGCATCCGTCTCCGCCGCCGGGGTGAGTGAGATCGGTTTGTGAAATTGTGATGGAGCAGTCAACTACTTACTTGTAAACAGAGATTACAAATTTTGTCATACGGAAATTTACAGCATTTGAAATTTTGAATGCTCACCGCCGCCAGAACCGGATGGACTATCTGATTGCCTAGATCAGCATACAGTTTCGCTGAAAAAGGAAAAAAAAGAAAAAAGAAGAAGACGAAGACAGTTCGCAGAGCGTTGGTGCAAATTGGTTCGACTTTGCTGTCTAGATCCTAGATCCCCCCCTCTTCCTGTGGGTCCGGCATTCGTGAGACTGTTTGGGAATTATGCCTGGGGATCTGAGTGTCTGCAAGTTTGTTGGGTGCCACCTTTATCCAGATTCGTCTTCCGCAAAACGCGCCGCGTTTGAATTATGTGGGGGACCACCATCGTAAGCCTAAGTATTTCTCAGTGACAGATAGTGTACAAGTATCGCGGCCACGGGATGTAAGGAACTTAGGAGGTTGTGACATGGAGGCCATTATAACCGCCGGGGAAGGGAAAACAACCCTTACAGGCAGCAAAGAGGGTCAGCCAGATTCCGCCGACGAACAACAGCCTTCCTCCGAAGAAGCTCCGGGGAGGGCATGGAGATCTTTCTTCTTCATTGATAGAACACAAACTCTCCGCCAGTGCTTCGCCCATACATAGGCCGCGGCGAAAAAGGCCGCGGCGAAAAATAGAGCCACAACGTTTCCACTTGAATGAATTTGGACCGGATCCGGCAAGCCCGTTCGGCCTCGCCGCATGGGACACGAAACAAAGAACGAAACGAGTGCATTTTCCTGCAGAAAATGGCCAGGTTCGTCGGTTTGCTATAAGTAGTAAAGAGTGTATTTTGCCTCCTTTCGTGGCCAGATGCACTCGTTTCGTTTTCGTTTCTTGTGCCGTGCGGCGAGATCCTTAGTCTACCAAGAGTAACGCTGGTAGCAGGACTCCTGGAAAGACGCAGAGCCTCAAGCATTCATTGGAGGATGTTATGGAATGCCTTTACTTTCACAAGGCATCATCTTTCCTGAGATTCCGATTATCGAAGCAGCTCTCATGGCCTCCGTACCTGGATGGACTCTACTCGATCGCTCATCGTCTAGATCGTCATACGTTGATCCCTCGAACTGCAGCCTCGAGCTCGCTGTCGTCTGAGAATGTCCTTCTTGAAATGCATGAGGATTCGGCTTTTGCAAGTCATCATCTTTACTAACATTCGGACCCGATTCACGTGCTCATCGCCTTCGTACCTGGACGGACTCGATCTCGTTATCTATACCAGCATAGAGTTCTTGGAGCTTTGCAAGTTTGTCAGGGTCTGCCTTCCAGCTCCCTCTTCCTGCAAGCCTCGAGCATTCGGCTTTTGCAAGTTGTCATCTTTACTAACATTCGGACCCGATTCATGTGCTCATCGCCTCCGTACCTGGACGGATTCGATCTCATTATCTATATCAGCATAGAGTTCTTGGAGCTTTGCAAGTTTGTCAGGGTCTGCCTTCCAGATCCCTCTTCCTGCAAGCGTCGAGCANGTTCTTGGAGCTTTGCAAGTTTGTCAGGGTCTGCCTTCCAGATCCCTCTTCCTGCAAGCGTCGAGCATTCGGCTTTTGCAAGTCGTCATCTTTACAAACATTCGGACCTGATTCACGTGCTCATCGCCTCCGTACCTGGACGGACTCGATCTCATTATCTATATCAGCATAGAGTTCTTGGAGCTTTGCAAGTTTGTCAGGGTCCGCCTTCCAGATTCCTCTTCCCGCAGCCTCGAGCATTCGCTTGAGAGTGTTTTGGAATGCCTGCGGATTGGACTTTCGCAACTTGGCCGCCATCTCCTCGTCCAATGCGTACGTGTCGGCAGCTTGATCATAGACCCATTTCTCCTTGAAGTCGGTAGTCCCACTCCACCCAAGCAGCGCTGTCATTCGCTGGGATATCTCGTAGGCACCTCCCGAGCCTTGGTCGGCCATCTTTTGGGCCCATTTGGGGTTCAAGAGCTTGGCTCGGTACTCCAATCTGAGCGCCGATTCAAGATCTCGTGGCTGTACATTCTTGCCGAACGTCTCAACGATGCTGCACTTCACGGGCTTCCCGCCCTCCCCTCTTGCCGTCTCCGCTGCTTTCTTCATCGCACCTGTGTTTGCGTAATACTCCTGGATGTCTGTCAAACCGTACTCGACACTGTCGATCTCTTGCACAATACGGTCGGTGGTCTGAAGCAGCTTGTCGAGAACCTCCGGCCTAGCAACGCCTTTTTCACCGCGGCCATAGCTGAATGCGTTGCGTGACTTCCACGTGTCACCCAGTTCTGCCCCATTATCCCAGTCGGCTGCACCCACTCTTTCATTTACCATGGACCCGTAGTCGCCGGCAGGGTTGGAAAAGATGCGAGATGTAGAGGAATCGACTCCTTCGGCCTTCAGCTCCAAGGCGTGCTTGCGGATGAAGTTCATCTCCGGAGGCTCATCGGCCTCTGCGGCCCTTTCAAACATATCATCGAGCAATTCCACAACATTCGAGAAACTATCTCTAAAGATTCCCGACAGATTCGCGAGGACGTCGATCCTTGGTCGTCCCAGCTCCTCCAAGGGCTTCAGCTCAAACCTGACGATCCTCCCTGTGCCTTCCTTAACCGGGCGAGCTCCAACCAGTGCCACAGCGATGGCGACGGACTCCCCGCGCGTTTTGATTGCATCTAAACCCCAAAGCATCACAGCAACAGTCTCCGGGTACTTGCTGTCGGTGCCTTCAGGCTGGCCTTCTTGGTGCTGAGCAATGATCTTTTCAGCTATGGCGGAACCCCTCTCCCATGCTGCTGCAGAGGGCATTCGATAGGGGTCTAGTGCATGGATGTTCCTCCCCGTGGGTAACACGCCCGGCCCATCCCTTAGAAGATCTCCGCCAGTCGCTGGGAGTACATAATCTCCGTTCAAACCTCGGATCAGGCTTTCTATCTCCTCTGTGTTTTGCCTCAGAAGGTCCCTGATTGCAACTGCCTCTTCCAGCCGTCGATCCATCTCCTCCGTACGGACGGCTGGCACACCGTCCTGGACCCAGATCCTCTCTAGTCTCCTCCTCACCTCTGCTATCCCACCCTTTTCCTCTGCCAATGCCACCGCCCTCACCGCCTCCTCGCTCAGGTCTTCCCCGTAGTATGCTGAGAGATATTGCTCCATCTGCTCGCTTGATGGAGGAGTCCCTAAAGAGTGCAAGCCTTCCGAAAAGAGACGATTCTCCACAATTTGCTGCAACAGTGCAAAACGACGGTGGCGCAAAAATCATTACTATGTTTTATTCTGGACTTCTGATTGTATCCGGCCTCGAACTTGGGTCTGTATTTCAACAGTTGCTTCCTTTGACTTTTTTCTATCGCTCTTTCCCTCTCCCTCCCCTCCTCCCTCCCTCCCTGTCACACTCTCTCTTCCTCCTTCCCTGCTGTCCCCACCCCCCCTTGCTCCCTCCCTATCGTTAGGCATGAGGAAGGCAGGTGGATGGATGGATGGAGGGGAAGAGGGAGGGAAGAGAGGCAGGAAAGAGGGCAGGGCAAGAGAGAAGAGAGAGGGAAGGAGAGAGGAAGAAGGAAATTAAGGAGGGAAGTAAGGAAGGAGGGAATGAGGCAGAGAGGATGGAGGGAGAAAGGGACCCAAGGAGGGAGGGAGGTAAGGACAGAGGAGAATAGGAGGGTGAGAGGTAGGTATAGGCAGGCAGGAAGGGAGGGGTGAAAGGGGGTGAGGAGCGAAGGGGTAGACATGGGGAAGGAGGAAGGACGAAGGAGGAAAAACTAATCCATTGATGGATATAGTCCGATATACAGACGAAGGAAATAAAAGAAGAAGGAAAACAATTAAAAAAAGGAAGGAAGGACGCAAGTTAATTCATCCTCGTAAGTCTTTCACTCCTTGATAACAATAATGGGTACTTTGCACCAGGCCAATAGGGGCCTTAGGGGCTTAATCCTTAGTTAATTAACACCTGTTTGAAGTCTGTTTCTGAAAAAAACGAAGGAAAAAGGAAGGAAGGAAGGAAGGGATTTTGAAAACTGCGCACTGTGTAGTAAATGTAAAACTCTCTTGTAGATCACAAGGTGTTAAAAAGCTCTTGTTAAAAAAAAAAAAGAAAAAAAAAAAAAGAAAAAGAAAAAAAAAAGGACAACCGTTGACACTCTGTACTCAGTGACTACTCACCGATGAGGCGTTAGTGCGACTAGGACTAGTACTAGGAGGTGGGAGTTCTCCGTGACAGCAGGAAGTGTGGTTTACGGGGTGATGAGTCGCCTTTAGCATCTCATCGTTTCATTTTGAGCTTCACGGGATCATCGTTAACTCTCACTTGTTAACATGACATTGTTTCTTTTGAATACTTTGAGTTGACTACACAGCGTGTTTTATGCGATTGCTGTTTGACTGCGTGCTTTGCATGAGCAGTTGATCTGATTTCTCTGTACTCAGGTTGAGAGGAGCCTGAATGACATTTCTCCCTGTCGGAAGTTTTTTTTTTTTTTTTCCATTTTAAACCACCAGCACGTTTCCCAGCTAATTTTTTGAAGTTGCGCAACTTTCGGGGCTCGGCCTCGGGAGCAAAATGGGTGGTGGTGCCAGTCGAAAGGAGGTCCGTGCGGGTTGTCTTTTTTTTTTGGGCGCACAGGGCGTTTTCAGCCCCGGAGAAAAGTGCCTCGGAAGTACTGATGGTTTAATCAGAAACTGGACCCGCTTCCAGCTTTAGATATCAGGTCCTACGGTCTTCACCGGAATACAACCTACGGTCATTATAGCATACAGACCATACATTGTATTCGGAATTTTGGAGAAAGAAAGTAGCACACTCAAACAGTGTTAGAGCAGGGGTTGATCCTTCCAGCTACGACGCCATCCCATGCCTCTGTCTGAGGTTCTCTCGGCCATTATGAGGAAGAATGGCGGCCTGGACTGTTGGTTTAATTTAATTTTCCTTTTCTTTGTTTTTACTTTTATTAATTTATTTGATTTTTATTATTTTATTATTATTTATTTTAAGTTTCTTATTGTTCTGAAAAACAAAACAAAACAAAACAAAAACTTTAAAAAAGAGAAAAGAAGGAAGGAAGGAAGGAAGGAAGGAACTTCAAGGAAGGAAGGAAGGAAGGAAGGAAGGAACGAATGAAGGAAGGGGCCCAAAGATGCTCACCAAGTACTCGTACAATCTTTTCATGTATCCGATGAACTCATCCTGGCCGACGGTCTGAACAGACTCTTCAGTCAACATCACGGCTGGCTGGTTCCCGGTGGCCTCAATGAAAGGACAATCTCCCTGCAGTCCGCTGGTCTCGAGAACGCCAACAATAGAACCCTTCAGAGCATCATTAGCTTCTGGGTTCTCTCGGTATTCGCTTATCTGCACAGAGTAGCAAGTTTTAAGTCTTAGAGACTTAGAGTAGTCATTAAGCGAGGGGAAATAAATTAAACAAACAAACAAACAAACAAACAAACAAACAAACAAACAAACAAACAAACAAACAAAGAGCCCAAGCGGGCTAGCTCAGTTGGTTGAGCACGAAAGATGCACTCAGGAGGTCATGGGTTTCGATACCCAACGTAACGTCATCCTTTCGATCCCCACGACCTCCTAGGAGATGCGTCGGGTTCACCGACGGAGATTGTGGCTGGTTGCCTGCCCGGCCCACACCAGGTGTTAGGAGATTGGGTACTGCTCCCCCCACAGAGGAGAGAAAGGTAGACATAGACCCATAACCTTAGGATAGCCTAGTTCTAGTTTACTAAATTTAAGCCTTTTAGGGTACTCTTGGACCCTAGCCCTAGATCGTAGCTCCACCCTCGTCCTGAATACGGGTGATCGCACCGTGATTCATTATGTGCTTCATCCCGAATAGGGGTGATCCATTATATGCTTTGTAGGGCTTGCGGGTCTGGCATAGATATGGGTAGCTAGAAGGAGGTTAACAGAGAGAAGAAAATAGGCTAGGTAAAAAATGCAACTGTCCCGCGCACGAGGAGAAGACATCTGCATTTTTCGAGAACAAAGAAACAAACAAAAACAGTCCTTCAGGACATCCGTTAAAATTGGAACGATACAGAGAAGATTAGCATGGCCCCTGCGCAAGGATGACACG